CATATCTTTTTTCCATTTCATCAGATGGATAACTGAAGGTTGATGGTATTAGTCATATATTACATATTGCATGTTTTTGTGCAACTTCTTTCCATCATAAATATAATTGTGTACACAGGAAAACCCTCCAAAAAGTTTATTTTCGTAGTGTTTTACTTAAATATTTATGAAAGCTTGGCTTCTGCTTCCTTAATGCTTCCCATTCTGTATTTTATTAAGAACTGGTTTTTGGCATTAGGATTTTTTTTATTGTGGTATTTTTCTGGTATAACATGAGATCTATCTTTTTAACAAACTTTGAAGTGTATAATACATTATTGCTGACTCCAGGTACGATGTTGGAAAGCAGCTCTCTAGACCCTACTCATCTTACTTGACTGAAACTACGATTAATGACTACTATATGCCCTCTTACCATCCTCTGGTAACTACCATTCCACTCTTCGATTCTATAAATTTGTCTATTTTAGATACCTATATAAACCGAATCATGCAGCAGTATTTGTCTTGCTGTGACTGGCTTGTTTCACTTAGTATAATGTCTGTCCTCAAGGTTCATCCGTGTTGTCACGTATTGCAGAATTTCCTTCTTTTTAAAGGCCAGTAGAATTCCATTGTGTGTATATACCACATTGTCTTTATCCATTCATCTGTCCATGGACACTTAGGTTGTTTGCACATCTTGGCTATTGTGAATAGTGCTACAATGAACATAGGAGTGCTAATATTTCTTCAAGATCCTGATTTCAATTCTTCCGCATAAATACCCAGAAGTGGGATTGTTGGATCATATGATAATTCTGTCTTTTGAGTTTTTGAGGAAACTTTTCTCTGTTTCCCATGGTCACTGCTTCATTTTGCATTCCCACCAACAGTGTACAAGGGCTCCAATTTCTCCACATCCTCACCAATACTCATTGTCTTTTGTTGGCATTAGAATTTGATGTTGAGTTTGGGTGACATGTTCCACCTCTGGAGATTCTCTAATTATTATTTTGTCTTTACCCAAGATATGATATTTAGTTTCTTCAGCTCTTTTTATAAATAATTGATACCTTCTTTAGAGTGGCTAGGGCCTTCCACAGCAGAAATATTTGATTGACTTTCTTACTCCACCCCTTAGCATGGACTCATTAGCCTTTTTCTCTAAGCAGTGTCAGCAGATATGTGAGTCGTTTCCATTTCAGACATCAGCAGCTCTGCTTTACTAGAAGGACACTCCGAGTTCAGCTTTAAAATATTATTAATAATATTTTGAATTTCCTTGTTGAACTTACCATTATAACATTTGCTGTGATTTTTAATACTTATATGGTATACTATGGTACATAAGGTACATACATATGGTAACTATACATATAGTACCTATACATATGGTTATGCTATGGTACATAATGGCTCACACTCAACATAAATGTCTGCTAGAATTAAATATTTTAGAAAATTCTATGTAATGTTTCCCCTCATCTATATCTATACCCATCTATAGATTTTATTATAGTTAAAGGTTATAGGTTTGGAATAGATTAGGCTCTAGTAAAAATTATGGTTGAAAACAAGCTGAGAGTCATCTTTTCCTGACACCACATATATTTATTTTATGCCTATTGGAAGGAGTAGAGGCCATAAAGAGGTTCTTAATTTGTTTTTTTCTTAAGATACAGGGTCTCACTTTGTTGGCCACGCTGGAGTGTAGTGGCAAGACCATAGCTCACTGCATCCTTGAACTCCTGGGCGCAAGTGATCCTCCCGGCTCAGCCTCCCGAGTAGCTGGGACTACAGACTCAAGCCGGCACACCCGGCTTTTAAAAACTTTTTTATTGTTTTTTTTTTAATGCCATGGACCTCCTTGGCAGTCTGGTGGTGTCTTTGGAGCCCTTGTAAGAATAATGCTTTTAAATTTATAAATTACATCAGATTACACTTAAAACAATTTTATTGAAATACAGTTCTATCCATGGAC